TGATCTATTCACTTATGCACACTTACTAGCCCATTAACACTCGTTTGCTTGCCCATGTGCACTCTCTTACTTGCCCGTGCACGTTCTCCTATAAATCCATGTGAATTCACCTACTCATCCCTGTGCTACATACTTGCTAGGGTGCACTTGCCCACTCATTATTATCTATGTGCACTCACTTGCTCACCCATATGCCTTCGCTTGATCGCCAAATTCACTTTCTCGCGCATGCTTGCTTGCTTGCCGCTAACATGCAGGTCGAGTTTAATTCAAATTTAACTTGTTTAGAAGGCCCTACTCGGCCAAGTTAGGCAAGTGAAGTGGAAAAAGGCTTTCGTTCTGCAACTCTCAATGTCAAAGGGCCTCCTCCCTTCCCAATTAGGCAAAATCTTATAGAGGCTAGAAAGTTGACTTCGGTGGCTCATTTAAGAAAGAAAAATAATTACTAAATCCTCTCATCATAACAATTTATTATTCTTTCTTTCATGACACATCCCATGTGCCTAAGAAAATCTTATCCATAACCTACTTGGCTCTAGCGAAGACTCTTGCTACTTAGATACTTATCTCTGATGAGGATCCTTCTGCTGGCGCTATTATAATGTGTAGCTTTGAAGATATGGCTTGGCATCAAAAGTCCCTTTTCATCGCTCAACTTGCTCTTCAAAAAGCTATGGTCTTTTACTACCTCTTCTGCCGTAGAAGATGGTCACAAATAGCTATGGGTAGTGAGGTCTATATGCGACACTGGACCTTTGTCTCCCTCACCAACATTCACTACTAATTGAGAGGCCCACCCTATTGTTTGCTATGAAGATGACGGGTTAATATGGTCCCTACTTATTCAACCATTTGCAGTACAATAAGGTCCTACTCTATTAAACTATCAACTTGTTGTGCAGACCGTATGGGCATCCAACTTAGACTAAAACAATCGATTCTTGCCAGTTAGCCGTGTGAGTTTTGCCTGCTTAAATAAAAAATAATAATTACAAAATGTTAAAACTCACTTAGGTTTTGTTTGCAATGGTTGCAACATTTTGTAAAGGTGATTGGGAATTTATTGTGGGGAAGTAACTTTTTTGAAAGCTACTGTCGATATTATGAATATGTTCTTTTTTAAAAATAAAATTATTGCAAAGCTGCCATACATTGGCCAATTAGTTGTAAAAAATAGTTTCTCATCATAGAAATCTTGGGATATTGAATATTACTCTAAAAATATTTTTATTAGCATTTTTTAAATGCCATCATATACTCCTAGGATAACATTTTACTTTATATTTATATTCCATCCATTCATCTTATAGTCAAAAACTAATAAATAATATTTTTACTTTATATTTATATTTCATCCATTCATCTTATAGTCAAAAACTAATAAATAATATTTGTTGCGTAAACTTTCACTCGGAATGGTTTTATATATAATCTTTGCAATCTAAACGATCTATTTTTCATTTTTTCTTATAAAAAATAGTCAATATGATATTTACTATCTCTATTCTTATTTGTGACGAGATGCTCATCTCTTTTTTTAAAAGAGGTATTAACAATTACAAATTATAAGTTAAAACAAAATCTTATATGTTTCTACCATTTTCATTAGTCGCTTCAAAATCATAACCATCATGAATGATTTTAAAATCTTTTACCCCTCTACCATCCATTTAAATTACCTCCTATAAAAACTTTCTCTAAGATGTATCTTTTATATTAATTATTCAAAATCATTTCAAAATTTAAATTTTGAACACATATCCAAATCTATTTAAGAAGCATTAGCGCTTATAATATTAATAATCTTAGCATCAAGAACAATATTTAAAGTTGTAATTCTATCTGTAATTCTATTAATTTTAGAATATTGTACTTCAAACTCTTATTCATAATCATACTTAAACCATTTGTAGTATAATTCCTACTTCAATGCTATAGTTTAAATCATAAACTATTAATCTTCTCTTCCTTTTCTCCAACCAATTTAGTTTTCTGAATACACTAAATATTTATCTTCCTATGAATACAATAAAAATATCAAATCTTTATCCCATTATGTGGGTCAACTACAACATTGTTGTTGTCAGGTTTTAAGCCTTATACGAGGAAAATTGAGGGTTGATTTAGGCAGTCAACAAGTGTAAAACATGCAAAATAGTCATAACATTTATCTTCCTATAAATCATAATATCTATTAATTATATTTATTTGTCGATAAGAGAACTTATATTCCAAATTCTTGTCATAATTCTAATTTTATGGACTAGCTTCTTTGCCCACATCTGTCCATGTTGTGAGAACCCTTGCTTACTTAACATTGTACCTAGGCACTGGTGCAGTGGCCCTTGCATACTTTTTATTGTATTTAGATCATACTAGCATTTACACAATTTATTGAAGGATTCATGTCATGATTATTCAACAAGTTTTACTCTAGCTGTCAATTACCTAATGCAACCCTTCGCTTTTCTTATCCAGGGCTTAGAATCCTACAACGACAGTGTTAAATTTACTACTAATTAAACTTAATACAAAGGAGAGAAATTATTGATTTATGGTTCATCAAAATCGAAGTTCTGTAATATCATAATCATAGTTTAAATTTCAATTGAAGGATTGCCAAACAACAACAATTTTATCTTCTTATTTCTTTTTATAATTAAGAAGACCTAATCCCCAAAACAACACTCATTATATTCTTCTGTGGATTCTTATAAAAGAATTGGTTTAAGTTCCATTCTCTAAAAATTACAAGCTTTAATTGAGTATATTCATATCTCAAGTATTTACTTTCTAATTTACTTCTACAATTTCCTAAACGACTTAATCCGAAATCATAAAATGCTATAAAAATTGGAATTGATTCATGATCACTAAATCAATTCAATCAAGTACATAGTAAATCAAATAATCACACATTAAAGCACAAGAAATGAAATTGTTGGATCGGGTTTACCGGTCCCGCCTGGACCCGTGCGGGTCTACAGGCGGAAGAGGGGGGCGGGCATCCGGCTT